AAAAAAACTTGATTTTTTGCTCATCCGGGGATGATCCTCAGAGAAAAATGTCTAGATTGGACTTGTGGTCTACTTTCACCATGTATTTTGGTACAATTCAAAGATGTGCAAGAAAGACTTCTTCCTTTTCAGAAGTAGAGTCAGTCGTTAAGACTGATGATCCTACAGAAGGCAAGTTTTCCTCTCCTCACAGGGCAACTCACGACTTACCTCATAGCGCAATCATACATTTGAGATGGGAGGGAAACCATACTTTAATGCTAAGTCTCCCAGTGATGATGTAAGCACTGACTAGTCGTATGCGAAACGGAGAGTCGGAATCAAAGCTGAGATCGCATAGCAAAACTGTGGAATAAGCCAGCTAGCTTTAGCGAGGTCGGAATAGGATGATGTGTTACACTGGAGGTTCTTTTAATGAATTCAACCCCTATTTTGATCATGTATTTGTTTGTTGCTTAAATTGTCCAACCTATTTTTTTAATAAAAACTGCTATTTTAAAATTATTTTAACTTGATACGTTAAAAATTGTCAATCATCTGGAGTTTTTACGACACTCGTAACCAGTAGAGATACCTTTTTCCCAAATGTATTAAAATAACTGCCTAATACGAATTATTGTATGCGTGTTATTATGTATTGTGTAGCATATTCGTTATTTTTCCCTTCGATCGCCGATTTCAGACCCTTGGATTGAGGAGACTAGTAAGAAGATAAGGTCTAATGCTCTGTAATACATGGAGAGAAGTCTAGAATTTATCAAAGATTTACAGGAGGAGGGGCATCAGCGTTGGCCTACTCCTTGGGAACCAGTAGTGTACGCCTATTGACGAGGCTGGTGTGATCTAACCGCAAGCTACGCAAAAGATCCCTTCAAACAAATATGTAGTATATTTGCACTTTATCATCTGCCGTATCGAGATAAATTATTTTGTGTGTTCTTTCTTGTGTATTTGGATGAAGGTGTGGTTTCAAAACCGACGAGCGAAATGGAGGAAGCGCGAGAACACGAGGAAAGGTAAGACATGATTTTTGTGAGGATTTAGTATTTTCGTGAATTTTTTCCGGAGTTAAAAAAAAATTGGGCAAATTTAATCAACGGAAATATTTTCAACAACTAGGTCAATAATTTTCTTTTCAGCAGAAAAGCATTTTTTGAGATTTTCCACTTTAAGGAAGCATTTCATGCTTAGAATGACACATTTTTGAGCTTATGTTCATTAGTATGACATTCATTTTTAGGTACTTCAAAATATTCTCTTTTCTGCACACATTGAACCTTCCTTGTTCAACCTATTAATAAAAAGCTGAAATAATTTAAGGCATAAGCATAGCATCACAGAATGATGTGGCAATTAAGCCGAAACTTCAAAGCGCTTGTCTATATATTGGACACTTTTGATTTGGTATAAATTAAAATGTCTACCATTCATGCACCTTGGCATTGTATTTAATCTAATCACTTTATATTGTTCTCCATCTCAGTCTTCCTCTTTCCGTGTACTTTCATGTCTTTTTCATTCGCTCATATGAAATCATCAGAAGGCTTATCTAGTAGCCAAAATTCACCGAATTTTTTAAATAAAATGAATTTATACGCCTAGCAGTTTCTCCCTTTTATCAAAAATTTATGCTTAGAATGTGTTACTAATTGTGAAATACAGTAAGAACCTACGACAACTTATTAGAGCGTCTACCACCCTCGATGAGACAGCCAAGGCCATTAAATGAACTCTCAGATTAACCTTTTTTTAATGTCAACGATGACATCCCTTTGCAGCAAAAATTAACAGGTACCTGTTGCTACTGATAAACTTAATCGTAGTTCCTTTAACGGCAATTCAGGTAATTTCCTTTCGAGCGTTTAAATTGAAAGAGGCAGGCAATGGTTTTGATAATGCCCAGGGTTAGTCACCTACTCTTAGATTGTACAGGCTGTATGTGTAAGGATAAATTTTGAATAAATTGTGTTGGATCCCATCCAAGTAACCTCTCTGAATGAGAAATTAAGAGCCTTTTTTAATGCCTGTGCATAGACACAGTAGAGTTGATTTCACTATTCTTACGGAACGATTAGGATATGCATATACGGTGTTACGAATCAACATGAGCATGGCTAGAATCTCTTTTTGTATCATAACCACACAGACTTTCGTGGCAAGTTTTGAGAAGGTTACCACCTTCTGATCGCTAAGCTTGGCAACAAAGGCACCACGAATGATAGAGCGCTCTAAGTGCTATCTGCAAAAAGAAAAGGAATATGTATTTTGAAGGCTTTACCGTCGATATTTGTTTTAAGTAAGATGGCTTTTACCGGTGATCCTACAAATGAAGCATACGATTTATCACCGAATCATGCTGCCATCGGGTAAGCTGATGACAAACAACCCAATTCCAGGGAAAGTAATTAGGGAGCCTGGGCGAAAAGCATGCAAGTGCCATGTAGCGTGAACTATTTAAAGGCTATGCATCACAGCATATCTATGCTGGTGGAAAATGTCTTGGTGTATCCCCTTTCTTAATTTTTAGGTCCTGGTAGACCAGCTCACAACGCCTATCCACTCACGTGTTCAGGAGAGCCAATTCCACCCACAGAATTGGCTCGGAGACAGGCGAGAGTCAGCATAAAGCGTAGAAGGTCTCATATTCCCCCCTCACTTCCTTATACCTCCTTTGCTACCACCTCTACCGACTCCACCTCCGTTCCTAGCACTGATCCTTCGCTCAAGAAACCCGCTTTCTTTATTGAATCACTTCTGTCGGAAAAATAGATTTTACCGGAAAACTGTGCAAAAAACTTCCTCTTAAGATGAAGGCGTTTGGCTTCAACTTATTAATCTACAGGAAATTATAAAATTTGGGATTTACCATAAATATTTCATAATCACGAAGAAGATTGTTTGACAGCAAGCGTAATGAAAAAGAATTTAGCCTGAAATCTCCTCAATTTCCTGGCATTTACACAGTAACTTCCAAATCCTTCGGTAGATTTTACCCTATTGTTTGAAGTTTGGAGGGATGTATTGTCCACATTCACAAATGATTGCATAAATCTTTATCCAAAATGCACTTCCTGCACAAATTGTTTGTTTGTATTATTCTATGGTAAATTTTAGGCAGAAAATAAAACCGGTAGTAGACCAAAATAAAAGCTACTTGTTAACTGACACGTCACTCGTTTTATTATGCAAAACCGCACTTTTAAAATAACCCAACGACTTTGGTTTTGTGAAACAGCCTAAACTAGATTTTATATCACTAAATTAAACAGTTATGCTTTTCTTATGGCTCCGCGTCTTCAAAATTGCACATGTGTAGCATTTGTAGCAGAAAAATTATTAAATTTCATAGATGCAGACCAAAATTAAAACACGATTTTCTTGCTCCATGTTCTATTTAATGTGGAAAAACAAGTTGCATGATTCAAATACTAATGATTTAAAATACTCCACTAAAGTGAAACCATTGTCATCCATGAATGTAAAGCGGGACATCATTTCAAAAGAATGCAATTGTATTTAATTGTTTTAACATTTGAACTTAACAATATACCAAATTCCTGGCAGTAAATGGGAGCAGAAAATAGTCTTCTAAACTTGCCTCTTTTGTTTAATCCCCCTTAAACTGTTCAATAAATCACTAATATTGTGTAATACGATGGTGGTTTATCCCTCGGTTCCGGTGAGGCGCCACTTTTGTACTTTGAATTAGCCCTCTTGTATCTCGCTAGGGTGGACTGGCCTTTTGGGCCATGCCAATAGTCCGGACACCTTCTCCGCGCTGAATATATATTCTGCCTGAGTATTTCGTCTTCTTTCGTCTTTAGAGAGTCTCGGGACGCTACGATTGTTTGTTCACTCATCTAGACCTGTTCCACCATTATCCTCCGGCAATTAACTAAAATTCCTTTTTATCTAGAGCAGTAGGCCATCCTGAATCCATTTTTTGCAACCACCAATGTTTGGGGCTCGATAAAAGAAGAACCAACTAGCAACTCTTTATTGATGATATCCGTCTACTAAATTCTGCGTCCTAGTTTACTTCAAACTAACATTCATTTGCCAAAAACTAGACCACTCCATCTCTAGGCTTCTACTTACCCAAAACCAGGGTGTAGCTGCTAACAAGTTCGGGGAATAAAAAGCATTGCATTTACCCCAAATGTCACAATAGATAGTACTTTGAAGGAGGAGAAACAGAGCAGGGACTATTGTGATAGCTCATTCATTAAATACATGCCGAATGTGTCCTGGCCAGGAGGCGAGCACAAGGCTCGCTAATCCGGGCTTTCCTAGCGGCGCAAGGCGCAGCCAAGGGATGGGTTGGACAAAATTTATCAAAATTTAATTACCCACTTGACACGCCACTCACACACACACACACATCGCTTTTAAGCTCATTTATATGCAAATTTGCACCAAAATGGTTGGCGATTAGGCCTGAAGAGGAATAGAGGGGTGCAATAGAGGGGCGGAGGGTGCACTGTTGATGATATTGCCCTCAGGAGATCTGGTACTCAAAAGTGGATTGAATTTTGACAAAGACTTGCGGGCTAAACCTGGGATTATTAATAAGACAATAAATAGTCTGCAAGTAAACTCTGGCTTAACCAACCGAGATTATAACTACATTTTGCTGTTAAATGCAAATATGATCTGCGATTGTTGCATCAAGAAGTGAAATATTCGGATTAATATTTATAGTTTGACGTTTGTAAAATTTTTGATAGTTATAACTGTTAGTAAACAATTTATTCATTTTAGAAATAATTGAATAGTTCTTAACTAATTACTAAGGCAGTCAGGACTTAAGTGATTCAAATAGTTAAATTAGAACGCATTCAACATGTTTTAAAATAGTTCCCAGAGAAATATCAAGGTAGTGAATCAGTACCTCAAATATCTAATGCCTAGTTACAAAACGCAGTCACTTATAATAGAGAAGTGAAATATGCCTGAAAAGAAAGAAAGCAGTGTAAATAGTCAATGACTAACCCCTTGGTTTTGATAAAGGGTCACTTGGTGTCTTCCCCGTTGTACCTCGCCGGGTGTACTGACCTCCAGGCCACGCCAATTGCTCCTACCCCTTCTGTATTTTGAATATGTATGCATTATGCCAGAGTAATGTGTCTCGGGACACTGCATTGGTGGGAGCGGATACGGAACCCGATTCTAAAGGGGATCAATCCTGATTTCCACTGCTGAGTGAAAAACTTTGTCGGGGTGGAAGGAGTATATATGCCAAAAATGGGAGAATTGGTGACGATCCCAAGCAAAAGGGCTATAAGCGACATCTGCCTTCGGCGACTACCCCAGGTGCGCCTTCTGCAGGAAAGTTATTAACAATGGAAGAGACACCAGCCGTAAATCATCTGGAATAGTATCGTTGTGGAGTTGCCCACTCGACCGGTATGAAGATATCGGTAATGAGAACTCGCTATGCCTGCTCCGCGTCTCTACTAGCTGGATGGAACCCAGACTGATGCGTGGGTAGTAATGAAGTGAGTAAAAGCTGCAAGGCGAAACAGACGCGAAACTCAGCCCCAAAGAGCACCGTTAGATCCCGTCAATCCTTACCTGACTACTCCTTTAGGCTGCTGCTCCTGCCATTGGACCCAGTAGAACTGCCAGAGCAATCAGTGACGTAGCCGTCAAGTATCTTCTCAGGCGCATAAAAAATTTGTCGAATAGCACAGTTGTTTGCAGATGTTTCGTTACATCACTAATTACTTTGTAGAGGTAAGGCAGGAGGCTAAAAAAGGTGGTGCTGGGGATGACGCTTAAAAGAGAAGGGGGGCTAGGTAACCCTCTGGTTTTGATAAAGGTCCACCTGGTGTCTTAGCCATTGAACCTAGTCCGGTGGTCTGGCCTTCTAGCCATGCCTATAGCTCCTATACCTTCTGTACATTTAATTCGCTTGCATTCTATTCGAGCATTACGTCTTCTTCCATCATCAGAAAAGTCTCAGGACGCTACAGTCATTATCGAATTAGTTAAAATCGTATATCCCCCACGTATTTATGGGTGATACATGTTTCCGTAATTTTAGTGAAACACTTGTTTTTGCACCTGTTTCGAGAACATGGCTATTTGAGAATGAGAAAAATAATGCAATCAAATCAATTATCGAGCTCTGTTTCTGAATTCCAGAACCATTAGTATAGAGTCGCCTAATATTCCATTATGTTTTTTATTGTTGGCAATTTATTATTTATTTGAAATTAATGCTAAGGCTATATATAATCGTAATTACCATTCTCGCTTGTATTTGTTATATTATGCTAATTCAAAATGGCCTACTGATCACGCATTGTGTTTAGGCCAACCAATCAGTGAGCAATCTATTTTATGGATAACCAATCAGCTGTCCGCTTTGGGGCTATCTTACATGGTCATTTATATAGACGGCGTGACTAGCCGTTGTCGGAGCGGCGCCATCTTCAATCATCATGGGTGTGGACGTGGAGGTTATTAAACCTGGTGATGGCACTAATTATCCCAAGAAGGGACAGACGGTTACTGTTCACTACACTGGGACTTTGACCAGTGGCAAGAAATTTGATTCCTCCAGAGATCGAGGTCAACCCTTCCAGTTTAAGCTAGGCATGGGCCAGGTATGACTGCTTTTTACGGAAATTTCCCTAGGTCATCAAAGGATGGGATGAGGGGGTCGCTCAGATGAGTCTCGGTGAGCGTTCCAAGCTAACCATTAGTCCGGACTACGGATACGGCAGTACCGGCGCTGCTGGTGTTATTCCACCCAACGCCACATTGGTATTCGACGTGGAGCTCCTTTTCTTCGAATAGTTCTTTTATAAATGCTGTCTGACTCCTTCCGGTTATATGTTGCATTACCCTAATCCTTGCTGGTTGAGTCTACTTTCTGTGTCTTGACGGCTGGTTTGGTGATCTCGAGGGTACTTCCTTCGTGCAAGTGACTCCCTGCAATCCGTGTGGTAAGTGTGTGGTACCTTCGTTGCGGTCCGTATGCGCGGTGATCTGGTTATCCTTGTAAGCTTTACCCCTGGTAAATGCTTAGATGTGGTTTCTCTACCGCCTTATGCCCTCTGGGTGGATAACAGCAAAGCGTTCGCCAGCGTTTGCTCTGCGTAGGGTGCGTCAGTAGCATTGCCTCCTGCCGTGACGTCGTCTGGCTGGTTGGCCGTTTTGATGGTGACGGGTCAGGCTGGAGTTTTCCACTGGAGTCGGGTGCTGCCTACTTATGGAACGCTGGGGTGGTTGCTCCTTGGTCGTGGTGGTTCGTGTTGTCTAGTCCTATTTGTTTTAGGGTTGTGGTAATCGCGCTGTGTGGGTGACGACGCAGGCAGTGTGGATTAGGGTCTGATAAGCTTGTTCCTCGGAGGTTAGTCTTACGGAACCTTCTATCCCCGAGACGTGGGGCTGGGCGACCTCGCTGGGCTCGGCTGGTGCAACCCGCTCTCTCGAGTCATTGTTCTGCTCCGTTTCCCAGTTCCCTGCTCGGGTTTTTTGTCTAGTGTCCTGCGCACTCGATAGGGAGTGCCCCTACTTTTTAGAACGTTGGAGAATTGGCCAACCGGTGCCTTAGTTACCCTTCGATTAAAGTACGAGGTGGTGGTGCATGGGTCCGGTGGCTGTCTTCCCGTTTGACGCGCTCAATTTGGCGTCAGAGATTGTTGCTTTAGCGTAGCAGTATGTGGATCGTGTAGGACTTGAAGTACACCATGTTTCTTAACGTGGGCTTGTTATCTACATTCTGCCCTTGGGGGAGGAATTTAGGAAGTTCGGTTCCCTGTTATGGTTTTCTGATGAATCGTGGCGGTAAAGAACATTATTTTTTCATACCTCAACGATTAATTGCCAAGTCTGGTTGCATGTAGCAGTGCAGAAAGCCCATGCTGGCGTTCTTGGTGGATGGAGCGCGGGTATATGTCTGCAAGTCTAAGGTCAAGCTTGCTAGCTGGAGTTCATCGTTGTCATCCCGAACGTCACGAATTAAGGTGGTTGTTGGGATGGCCTGGTAGTGTACACTAATCCTCCAAATCAGAATTTGACGCATTTAGTCTGCAATACTGGCGGGAATTCTGTGAATTCATTCTTTTTAAATCAGCATAACATGATAGACCCAAAAATGTGACCCGCTATCGACGTATGGCTACTTTCGCAGCGTCAACGCCTCTGCATAAAACACGGGAGTGTCTTCTATTTTACTACGCGTTGAAACTAGTCGATCTCTATAAATAGCGAATTTAAATGCATGTGTGTGCTCCCTGTCTTCGCTATGTCGTGATGACTGCTTTTCAACACCCAACCACACCCAAGCGTAGATGGTACGGGAATGAAACAAAAAAAGTAGGAATATGTACGTTTTAGGGTTTTTTCTACAACATGCTCCGTCTGGATGAGTTTTAGTGGCACACGCTGTGAAGATTCAATGATTTGGAAAGGCTTGAGAATTGAGATGTTTAGAAATGAGACAAAGATAATAATCAAATGAATGATGCTCTTTCGATAACAAGGGCTGCAATAATTTGAAGCTTAACCATTCTTGTCTTCTAGGCTGCATAACAGGAGAGGTCATATTTCACCATTTAAATGTAATTTAGCTTCAACAATGGCCCTCTGTTGTGTATGCACCTCACTTTAGATAAGAGAATTTTGTCAATTAGGTTACTTAATTGAAAATTGACAGGTCTTCGCATCTTACAGGATGAATGCGAATATCGTAAGCTGGGATTTTCGCAAGGTATGGGGAACAAGATTGCTGAGTGCCGTTACGCCTATTAATGGTGGATTCTTCGAGTGGATTACCCATTTTCTAGCGGTTGGTGATGGCAGCCTGTTCACGAGTAGTGGATGCTGGACCCTCACCGCAAATCATTGACCGAAACGGAAGTAACGATTGTCCGTGATTATTAATGCGACATCTCAGGGGTACAACGCTTCCTATTCCAGGGTTAAACACAAGCGTAGAAAAAAAAGTGTAAATTATCATATCACGTGACAAGAAAGTTGGCGCATCTTTCAGACTAGCACACCGCAGTGACATGTTGTAGCGTGTTGGAATAGGCAAAATACAACAAGTCAATCTACTTATACGCTCTGCTGTTTTCACCTCTACTTGCATCCTATCTTGAACCTTCGCACCAGTGAATTTTAATTGAGTCTGGTGAACGTCGTCCATAGTTGGCTGCTTAACGAATAAAGTTTAAGTCGAGTCTGATGCTGGAGAAGTACAGTGTGTGGTGCAGTGTTTGGAAGTGTGGAAATGAAACGCACTGTCCAAAAATTTTCCTAACAGTTTCAATACAGTGGAAGATC